TCATTTGCTACCTCCTATTTCCTGTGTTAGAAAACTATGTGAGTGATCATCCCTGTTCATCTTTTTTTATGACTTATGTCTCCCCCTCCCCTTGTCTCCTCTGTTGAACCCTTTCCAATAGAAAGGTATTATAATATAGGTAGTGCAGTGGGCTTGGAGAGGAATAAGTTGTTTGCTTTTATGGAACAGGAGGAGCTTTCTTAAAGGCAGTGACTTGAGGATTTAGGGACTGAGGTAGCCCTACTGCAACACTACAGATGTTACCTAACAAACCTTGGGTGTGTAAGGAGTATATTGAACAGGTGTGGATACCAGTTATTCTGGGAGTGGGAACATCTAGTATTTGGTTTCATTCTAAGAATGTATGTCTAAAGCTTATTTCAAAAATATGCTTCTGAACATTTTTGTAAGAGTTCTTTGGCTTGTAAATGTAAAAGGGCTTTTTTTTTGTTGTTTTTAAACAACAAACTTACACTATTTAAAGGACCCTGGCTGCTACTTACTATGCTCTAGTAGAATAAATTTGCAGTGATGGTGATTTTTGTCAGTGTGTTGCATTACTGCCTGTTGAGTGGTATGACTCACCTGTTCAACCTAACTGCTTTTGTACCATCACTGTGTCTATAGGTAATAGGAGATATAGGAGATTAGGGTGAATTACTGGACAGAAAGTTTTTGCTATTGTTGACAGACACAAGAATGTAAATTGCTGGTTCTCTGGCTGCTCTAATAAGCAGTTACAAACAGGAAATGGTGTATATGCTTAGTTTCACCTACTACAGTTATTTTCATGTGTTTAATGTACACACAGAATTACAATGTTTTTATGCAGGCAAATCTTTTATGACTTTAAAGGGGCTTATTTTCCTGTTACCTCTTGAGAAAGTCAGTGGTTCAAATTGGGAAATTCTGAGCTTTATTAAATAGTGATCAAATATTTGGTTAGTTGTTTATCCTTGCAATGTTCATTTTGTTTTTCCATTTTACTTTTCTGAGGTTTGACCTGCCAGGCTTTGTACTGCCCAAAAGTTAATGCTGGGAGAACAATTTTGGTCACTAGCATGCAGTTGAGTGTGGACTGTGTATTGCAGGAAGGCCGTGGATCATATTTGTTAAGAAAATCTGATGTATTGTTTCAGTGCTTTGAAGTTGAGAGAGCTTATTTAACCAAAACTTTAACCTAAAATTTTCAATATTGAGGAAAAGCTTGATTCTTTTTTCAGACCTCATTATAAGACACCAAAATATCCTAAAATTATCAATTCCTCTCTAAAATACCATGATTCTAGTGCAATAAGGTACAACCCAATATTGATTTGCATTGATATTTGTTGGTATTACAGTAGAAAAATACTTATGTTTGATTGGAATCTACATAGAGTGTGTGTGTTGTGATGTGACATAGGTTTTAAGGTTGAAACAGTGTGTCTATCAATGTGTTAAGATTTCTTGTGGCATTGGGTGCACAAAGAGGATGTCTGTGAGCCGTGTGAGTTATTAAAGGGAGGCAAGTGGTTGTCATTGTCTACTAATTTCTGGCATGTTCTGTGTAGGACTCTTCCATTAGTTCTCTTAATTTAAGTTGATTCTGAATTCCAATCATTGGGAAAATCCTGGAAAGTAATATGAGTTTGATTTCGATTAAGAAGTGCTCAGCTGATGTCAAAGATGCACCGCTTCCCTAAGTGCAATGACAAATTGGTTGGCAGCTGAGAATTGTCCTGTTTGTAAGTTTTGTGGCAAAGAGTAAGTTTTAAGTTAAGAATTTAAGATAGATTACTTCTTGCTTTCTTTCTTTATAAACATTTTTCTGCTCTCTTTTAGACATGGACCGTGATTATGGACATGGAGGCTATGGTGGCCCACGATCCATGGACTCTTACCTTAACCAATCCTATGGGATGGAGAGTCATGGAGGTGGAGGCGGAGGAGGTGGTGGTGGTGGTAACAGGTAAAATAATCCTTCAGTTGTCCCAAGAATTGATGACATCTGATTTAAGTTTAAAATAGTCTCTTTTCTAACTTAAGTGTTCCTGAGGCATGTTGTTACGATTTTGTATGAACATTTTTGTTCTGAGTCTTCCTGTGCAGTAAGACTGGCAAATATTAAACTGTAAGAGCTAGATTATAATGAGCATTTTTTTGTAGAAACGTTTGACAGTGAAACTGTGTGTCTTTGAATGAAAATGGAAAAAGTTTTCTTTTTTGGTAATGGTTGTGAATTTGTAGCTGATTGGCCTGACATTGTTCTTCGTATAGCAGACTAGACCTAACTGGTTTAGTATTTTAGACTGAATCTATCAACATTCCGTTTTCAAGGAACATTTAGGGCATGTGTTCGTTGGTTTGAATGTGCAATGCTCAAATGATTCTGGATATTGAATCTGAAAGTCATGTCCAGATTATTTCATTGGCAGGTACTGATTACACTCAAAATTGTGTGCATGTTCTGGGCTACTTTGTCAGAAGGATTGGTTTAAAATTAAATTTTTTTGATGCAGTGGTCTTAAAGTCTTAAAGTTGTGTATTTACTGCTAGGATATTATTCCTGGTGCTCTTTCAGCTTTAAAAAAAAAATAAAAGAAAACGAAAAAACAGTAGGGAACAACTGATTTGATTTAGGCCTTAATATTATATTCAAAGTAGCATACTTTTCAGAGTAGTGATTCTATCTTGGAGGAAATTAAATGTGAAGAAAACTTAGTTAATATGTTGGTTTTCTTGTTTGCGCCCTCGAATTCCTGTCTGGCTGTAGCCAGACTGCTGTATGATTATTATTTGCAGCCACTGTAGTGCTGCTGGACAAGGACAGTGCTAAGTTGGGAGGCTGGAGAATATGTTGTGTTTTGCTGCACGGTTCTAACATCTAGCAAAGTATAATTTAGTCAATGATGAACATTAAGATTGACTTAAAAGTCTGTGCAGAGATTCAGGAATGAGCTGTACCTACCATATAGTAATCTGCATATGATTGAGGTTGAATGTCTACTTGAACACTGAAATGTTTCTTGCCATGTTACGTTAATATTGTGCATGGACTCTTTCTGCAGATAGTGTCATTTTTCTCTGTAGTTTTGGGTCTTCTGAAAGTAATCTCTTTTAAAATGAAGGCTTTCTGATTCCTATAGATACAGGTCTGCTCAAGGTTGTATTTTACCAGTCAAGGGGTTGTCCTTCCCAACTCCTGCTGACTCAGCCTATTTTAACCCTTTAGGGACACTAATGTGTTTCCCTTCCAAGCAGTTGCATTGATATCTAGTCTCACCCTCCAACACAGAGCATACTCTTAATAAATAACTGAATATTTCAGTTCCTTGTTACCCTATTGTGAAATTTGATAGACTGCTTTCTTATGCACTGTGCGCTAATTGGGTTAGATTTTCAAAATTCTGAGCTGCTGGACTGTAAGTGAAAGATGCCTTGCAGATTGTGAACATTTTGTCTGATTGAGACACAGACTTACAGGGAGAAAAATTCTCGAAGTGTAAATATGAATGGTAGAGTACTTATGTTTTCCATTAAAATTAGAATTGTGGGATGTTTAAGCCGCCTTTTAACTGCTATTTAAATGTAAAAGTATGAGGACTTGATTTTGAAGAAAGGACAGTTTGACTAGCCTGTGAATGTCTGCAGGTGATTATTTTCCTGAGACTAGGGCTGGGCTCTAATATTTAGTAAATGTTGCTAAAAATTTAAGTAAACAAAGTTCAGACATACTGAACTTTAGAATTGTTTGTAGCAAAAATGGCTCAGATAGTTTTCTATCTGGCCATAGTGTGACTTGCCCAGCCCTAATCAAGATAAACAATAAAACAACTGTACGGACTAGTATAGTAATAAATTGATTTTAGGTGATAAATGTCAACTGATAACTTGTCTTTTGAAATGTATAACACTAGTAAGCTTACTTTTTTTTCTCCTCACTGTGCAACTCTTCCAGGTTTGGACCTTATGAGTCTTACGACTCCGGGTCTTCTCTGGGTGGGCGAGATCTGTACAGATCTGGCTATGGTTATAATGAGCCCGAACAAAGCCGCTTCGGAGGTAGTTATGGTGGTCGATTTGACAACTCCTACCGGAATAGCCTTGACTCTTTCGGAGGTAGAAACCAGGGCGGGTCTAGCTGGGAAGCACCTTACTCCCGTTCAAAATTGAGGCCTGGGTTTATGGAGGACAGAGGAAGAGAGAGTTACTCTTCCTACAGCAGTTTTTCTTCACCCCATATGAAGCCTGCACCTGTAGGCTCTCGGGGGAGAGGAACGCCTGCTTATCCTGAAAGTGGATTTGGAAGCAGAAACTATGATGCTTTTGGAGGACCATCATCAGGCAGAGGCCGAGGCCGAGGAGTAAGTACAGAATCTTTTCAGATTCTTTTCACTAGACACTCTTTTAAACCCTTTCAAGACCACTGCTTTAAAATAGATGCACTGTTCAATGCAGTGTGTTTTCCTTTGTCCAAGCAAACTACCATGGTTGACAATGCTGTTTATCCCCTTGAAGCTGCCTTCAAGTAGTACCCCGTCCTGTTTTTGTTGTAAGTAATGAGTAATAGAAGACTAGTTGTTAAGGTTTGTTAAATCTCTCCTTTTGTTTGAAAGGTGAACATAAAAGTTACTAGGTTTGGTCTAAAAGGGATTAAAAGGACTTGCATTTCTCCTTGCAAACACTAGCATCTTTGCTGCTGGTGGAGAAATTTTTGAATGCTGTAAAAGTTTAATTCCAACCGTTTTTAAGTTTTGAGTAGGTTAAAGGTGCAATGTATAAGTAAAAATAAAATACAGGTTGCGAATGCCAGAGTAGTTTTTCTTTTGTTTTTCTACATATGGACAGGTAAAAACTTCTAGCTGAATCTTCAATATGTTAAACGTGCTTTATTAAACATCAAGTCTCCTTTTAAGCTTAATTTTTATTGACTTGTGTATGGAAGGGTGTTGGGAAGGAAATGGCAAAGGTAGGTTCCTGGCACTTGCAGTTACTTTGATTTAAAGCATGACTAAAGGCGCATCATCAACTTGAAATCAGGTCCTTTCTCGGAACTGAGATTAATTTCAGGCAGTGTGTGTAGTCCTGTTATTTTTGATCATTTTGTTTTGAAAATGTGTTCTAACTCCTTTTCAATGGTTTCCTCTCCAGTGTAAGATCTAAAAACCTCACAAGAAAGTACAAAAATAGCTGTACATGAGAACAGGGGATCACGTAGTTTGGAGAAGTACTAGGGCGGGTGGGGGGAAGCCATCAGAAGAGAATAAGGAAATCCTGACAACAAAAAGCACTAACTTTAAGTTGATGGTGATCCTTTATCTTGGTTAAATAATCCCAGCTCTTAATTTTTTTTAAGCATGCAGAGTTCAGTCAATAATTTTTTACCTGTGCCTCTAAATACAAGTCATCTTCTTAAATTTAATGTGCCATATTATGTTGGGAAGGAGTTATTTAATATTAATCTATATAACTTCTTTGTATCTTGAAGTTAGATGAAGATTACTTTTTCTGGATCTTTTTAAATGCCTAATTGTGTGGTCGTTTTGTTTCATAAGGTTTACTTCGCAGCATTCTTGTATAATGTAGTTGCCATATTCAAGTTCAGCATAAATTTGCACATGGCTGCTAGCTAGTATGTAGAATGGTATTTAGAAATAAATTCTAATCTTTATATTTCTCTGCTCATCTAGCAGGAACTGTTAGATTCTTAGGATGGAAGCGTTAGGATGCCTTCCTTTCAGAACTTATTTAGATCTGAAAGTTCAGTGAAGAAGTACACCTGGATATCCTCTTTTCCCTTTGAAAATCTTTAGTCTTTTTATGTAGTAGTGGACAACATAAAAGCTAAACTAATTACCATATTTAAAATGCATTGCACCTTTAATAGATAGATAATGGAGATAGTGACTGTTTAAAGAAGTAGTACTCGAAACACTTAAGTTTCAATTGCGTATAGTTCATGTCATGTTTATATACATACAGTGTAAATGTACATGCTAGGTAGTTCTGTATCTCAACCGGGTGAATTAACATGGAGATCTTGTGCATGGACTTCTAATATGAAAATGTGCCCATTAGTATGTTCTAGTTCGGGATTATTTAAAACTTTCTAATAAAATGTTTTTACATTTCACACAATACACTTAAGTTGTTTTCATGTACTTTTAATAATGTGACACTAATTCTGTTTTCATGGCAGTACAAATATTTCTGCTTATCCAATTCACCCATCCAGTCAATGGGCTCTTTTCTTTCCTTTATTAATCATATAAGTCAATATGAAGAAATGAGTGAGTGCTTTTGAAAGTTATGGCTACTTAACTTCTCCCTCTTCAGATTCCTCATTCAGTGCATGCCTCTAGAAGGGCAACCTGCGTAAATAGATGTCCATAGATGTCTGTATAGTGTTCCAGAAATAATGGAAAGAAAAGATTAAATTTTCAGCAATATTTTTCATCCCTATTGCTGGTGTGTTTTTGTATCACTCTCCCCTCACCCAGATCAACTGTTAATTTTTAGATTCTGAATTTATTGAATTCCCTGTCACATCCTACATTTTTAGAATTAACTGAAAGAGACACACCTTCCTTTAATTTCTGCTCCACACCGGACAACCTTCTTTACTTTAAAATCACTAGTTTTCGCTGGGGGTGGTAGTGGTATTTTTTTTGTTTGTTTGAATGGCTGCTTCCCTAAGTTTAGAGAGCTTGGTTGGTTAGCAGTATTCCTCCAAAGAGGAAAAAATGTCATTCTTGTAGAGAATCTGAAGAGAGGAGCCAAGATGTTAGGGTGAGGTGTGAACTTTGGGAATGTTCATCGTCTGGACAATGGTTCTGAATAAGCAGAAACACAGTTTGTGTGTATATGTTCATTCTACTCGACAAAGCCATTACACAAAACAGCATAAAAATGGAAGCTCAAATTTCCTGTTTTGCTTCAGAATGCAGATTTTTGCTCAGCTTACCATTTTACTATGAAATATTTAAAAATGTCTACTAAAGTGTAATTGTTTTACTTCCATTGATTTCATATACTAATATTTTTTTTCTTGATTTCACAAATTTCTAGCATATGGGAGATTTTGGAGGAATGCACAGACCTGGAATTGTTGTTGACTATCATAACAAACCCAGTCCTGCAGCAGTTGCTGCAAGAGGAATAAAGAGAAAAATGATGCCACAGCCCTATAACAAACCGGGTGGGACATTTATCAAGAAACCCAAACTCACAAAACCCATCTTGAAGCTGACCCAGAAAAAACCACCTAGTAAGTAAATTCTGCTATTAGTGCGATTTAGTTAGTTGTTATTTTTAAAAATATATTTATTAGGAGTTATTTAATTTTAATCTTCAGAAAGAAGGGTGTGTATGCTATTTGGGCTGTTACACCTCCTTCATTTCAAGGATAACTTGCTAAATTTGAAAATACTGAGGTTTTTAAATATGTATTGCTGAAGATGTCTTGATAGGCCTGAGCAATGGAAACTTAGCTCTATGGATCAATAATGGGGAAATTCATAATAGATGTAGTCAAGTTATAAAGGTTTGTTTTGGGGAATTACATTCTTAAGTTGTTCTTCCAAGGTATTAAGGTGTCTCTTAGCTTCTCTCAGGTAACCTTGTGATCTTAGTTATGCTACTGTTCCTTAACTTTCGCTTCAAGTGTACTGTAAAAATTTCAGGCACTGATTGTGGACAAGGCTTACCATCTGTGTACAAAGCAGAGGCTTTTTTATTTACAAATTTAGTACTAACCAGCTCTGATGTTATGAAGCAGGTATGTAAAATACACATGTAGGTATATGAAAGACTTGCATCTGAAGGATCTTCTGTTTTGCTGTGCTGCGTACTTGTGATGAACTGACACTTGTGGAGGCAATTTCCTGTTGGAAATTCAAACAACATATGCTCTTCGATAAGTGGTATTGTAGAAATAAGGTTTTTTTTGGTTTGTTTTTAAAGTGAACAATGACATGATGAGGAGGTGTAATATAAAGTAGTTGCAAATGATAGTTGGAAAACTAGCCAACTCCTAGCAGGAATTTCTAGGGGGCATACTTTGACTATGACCAGCTTGAGATACTGGGATTGATGTTTGGTGTCTCTATAAACTCACTTCTGGTGCTGTTTTCTGACAGTTGCATTGTCAGCTTCTGTAACAGGAAGACTTTTGCAGCTGAATTACTCAAATTAGGCTATAGAAAGATGTACAACTGATGTTTAAAGATGAGGTTAGTGAAACTAGTCAAGCCAGTGACCCAAAGGTGATTCTTCTGTGAAGGATCTTCTGTTTTCCTTTATTACTCTTTTCGGAGAAAACAAGAGCCACCTGCAAAGTGATTTACTTTTTGGGGAGGGCTTTTTGTAGTATTTTCCTTGCCAGATCCATTTCCCTGTGAATGCTTTAAGAAGGTGCAAAATTTCCAAAGTTCCAAGGCAACACGGTTTCCAACTCTGTGCCAGCCCTTGCAGTTCTCACCCCAAAGGTCTTTTCAGTTTTAGCAAGATCTGAATAATAAAGTAGTGACCACTAAGAAGTGAAGAACCCTTTTCCTATACAGTAATGTTTCCTGAAGGCAGTGGCTTTTCTTGGTATTACTTGGTTTACCCTTTTCTAAACTATCTTTAGATGGAACATTTTTAAGTTAATATCTGATCCTTTTCACTGATCGTCACAGTTCGGTGGCTGAGGTATCAAATGCTGAAGTGTCCTCAAGCAGTGGAGCAGATAGTGCCTGCCAGAATGCACTGCAAGTCAGTCCATCCTGCGACTATGAAAGCAGGGGAGAGAAAAACTGAGTGGTTTACTACAATTTTCTGATTTGTAATGAAAGAGGCTGTAAGCAGTGTCACACTGTTGAAAACTAAAACCTTACCCAAAAGTAACTAGCGAAACTGTGTACCAGAGTATCATATTTATGACTATATATCTCTAAATGATAATTCCCTCTCAGTTTTGAGTTTTTCTCATATGTATTTTGACTTTAAAATCCTTTGCCTTTAAAATGAATTGACACTGATATTAGCAGTATTGTATTTTAATTTCTTCCCTTTTCTATGCTTTTAGACATGAAGTCATCTTTCCCGGAGTCTACTATTGAGGTAAAGGTTTCAGGGTACCTTTTCATTGTTTCAGAACAAGTTCATACAATGTATATTAAACTGATTAGTTTTCAAGTAATCTTCTTGGTCATTAAGGTAGAGTTGTAAAAACTAAAGACTTAAATAATATGGAGAATGTGAAATTATAAATATTCATTTTTGTCTAAAGCTATTATTTTAATGGCAGTCTGAAATCCTTGCTGATATGAAATGGGAAGTGGTCTTACTGATGAGACCAGACTTTTGACTTTGACTATTAGTTTGCTTAATAATCCGTGTTTCTTACTTGGCTTGCAAATTTGCCCTATGCAGTTGTAAGCTTTATGTAAAACTTCTACATAATTTGTTATATAATTTGCATTTTCAAACCTGCACTTGGCCAAAGTCAAGAGTTCTGATTTTTTTCAGAGCTTGGATTATATCCTAAAATAGTTTATCTTTGGGGAAGTGGTCTGGGAACCATTGGTCTGAATTCTAAAGATGACAGGTTTCCTTCATTTAATATGGCTTAATTAAGTAGTATAGCTCAATTTTATTTTCTGCTTTTTTTTCCTGGCCCCCATGTAGCCTTTGTTAGAACTTGAACAGCAATGAAGGGGGTGTGTGTGTGTGTGTTGTATGATTTTTTTTTTTTTTTTTTTTTTTTGGTATGTGAATAGCAAACCCTCGTGCTTTGGTGCTGTGAAGGAGGCCAACTTGTTTTATTCATCTTCCTCATTTCTAGAACTTAATTTTGTAGTTCAGTATGCAATTGAAGAATATATGTAAATGCATTGATGAAATTTTGTGAAGCTGTTTTTTTTCCAGTTAAATACCCTTTTCTTATTGCTTAGAAATGCTATAAAAATTTGTGCTTAGTTTAATTAATTTCAAAAGTGTAGACCTACCAGCTGTTTTGGTAGTAGAGCTGTCATCTGAGCACTTTTTGTGTTGTCACAGGCAGTCAGCTTGATTTCATCAATCCATTACTTGTGTGGGTTGAGAAATTAAGTACAGAATGAGAGGGAGATGATGAAAAAGCGATGAGGGAGAGCAGCGGAGAAGGGAGGCATTAACAAGAGAGTAAATGAAAGAAATGGTGTTAACAGATGTTTTCTGGCATGATACAAAGGTTAATTCTCACCTACAGAATGATCATTTACAAACACCACTTGCAAACAATATGTGAAAAATGTAGCTGTTAAGCTAAGTATACAAATCTTGGTTCTGTGTTGAGAGGATAAAATGTTATTTTACTTCCTGGGTGGAGGTGTTACTAGATTCACAAATAAACATTTAGAAGTCTGAATTGAAAGACAGATTGTTCATGTAGAAGCCAATTAGAATTTTGCTGATGAAGTTAATTTGCAAAGACTTGGAGGCATTGGAGGGAAACTGCATAATTTGAAGTGTTTTATACAGGGAGCCTTAACTAGATACTTAATTAACTTTCTGCCATAGTCATATTTAATAAAATAAGTAACAAACTTTGAAATGGAGTAATTGACACTGTCTATTACTAGATTTAGAGCAGTATTGTATTTTCATACAAAATATATGTGTTTGACTTTTAGGAAATTGAGGTGGACACAAGTGGTGCTGTTGTTATATATGAAGACTTTACAAGAGATGCTTGTGATCTTGGGTATCAGACTTTTGGAGGTAAGGTGGTTTGCTTTGTTAGATAAAACTTTGTGGAAACTGTACTTGTGATTTTTTTGAGAGAATAGATTTAGGAAGCCTGTATGTGTGACATCTGATACTAATTGCATCATATGGTATCATTTTTGAAGAATTTAAAAATGTAGGACATGAGGAAGAAGGTTGTCTATAACGAGCACTGTTCCTTGTTTTCTGCTCGACATGCTGTCAGGTCTGTGCATCCTGATCATCTCCATGTTGCATTTTTGGGCTTGTTTTGATTTTTGTGAGATTGATGTAAATGGTTTTCTATCCTTGGTACCTTTTCATCAATTAAATGTCGTTTGTCACGCCAGTTGCAGTGCTCACTTACTCTTATCTTAGTTATCCCACTAGCTATCTCACTTAGAGCAAAGTTAGTGGGATAACTAGGTGAGTCATTTTTTAAAGTGACTTTTTTTCTCATGTGCTTTGCTGTTGTTTATATGTTTTTTTTTATAATGAATTTCTTTTACTGAAATACTGGGCACACACTTTGCTTTGAGTGAAGACCTTTCTGTTGAACTGATTTAAACACCCTTAGTGCTGTTACTCAGCTTACAAAGCTAACTGAAGTTGCTGAACTTTGAGACTTCCATTTGAAACTGAGGATAAATGTAATGAATTTTTAACTTGGTTCAAGTGTACTGTAAAGAATAGATTGCGAGTTGATCTGTTTTGCAGTTGTGTGTTATTGGGGAGGTTTGTGTGAAAGGTTGCAGATGTTTGGATCCATCTGTAGCACCAATTTAATAAATAATAGCTAAAACTGTATTTGCATAGACATTTGCATAAATACTCTGAAGGAAAGGCTTGTTGCAGAGTCCCAGTTTATATGTCGACTTGGACTTCCATCGCCCAGTTTGTAAGAGAATGGGCAATAAAATGTGTCATTTGAAGTACAGGCCATTTTGCCCTACAGAATGATTTTTTTTCGGCAGTAAAACTAGGGACCTGTTGCCCCCTCTGGGTTTGGAGGTAGCATACTAAGTGAAATTTTAATTCTAAGTGTGTGTGTGTTTTGTGTGTGTGTTGAATTAAGCAAAGTAAAGCTGGGGTGGGGAAAAGAATTTCAAGCTCAAGTTCCCTTAATCAGCCACTGCCTTATCTCCCTGTGAAAACATTTATAGTAACTTCTGGCTTGAAAACTATGCTCACAGCAGAAAAAATACCTGACTTTAGAAAGCTGCTTTCTGAGTAGGATTGTGGTAGCAGTGCTCCAAAACTGGAGAGAGATAAATAGATAGTGTTTTGTTTTCCTCTAGCGCCTTTCCTGGCCACTTAGTAGAAAGTATTTAATAACTAGGCCTGGTAGGGCTGGTGTTGCTCTACCTCTTCATTGTCTCACATTTATGAGTGCATCACAGATCTCTTAAGTACCAGATCTGCAATGCTTGAAACCAGTATTTAAGTCTGCCACCTTTAATGGAGAGAAAAACTTCAAAACTTCCTGCTGCTGTTAAACCATTTTGATACCTTTTTTTTCTTTGCATTTTGAAACACTATAAAATGTGTTTTTGGAAGAGAGAAGCAAAGAAATTCCTTCTGTCATAATGGATTTTTTTGGAGAGTAATATTTGAACATCCTTTTCTTATATGTTAAGATGGTAAAGGAGAAGTCAAAAGTGAAGAAGAAGAAAAGCGACGAATTGAAGCCAGAAGAGAAAAGCAAAGGCGCAGAAGGGAGAAAAACAGTGAAAAATATGGTGATGGCTACAGGTTTGTGCTATAACTGTTGTCTTATGTGCTGAGTGCCACCTCCCCTTCTTTTTTCTCTCCTTGCTCTCCTCCCCGCCCCCCCAACCTTTGCATAAATGTATTTGCTGAAAACCTCTATGGACAGATTTTGAAAAATAAAATCCAAGAGCCTCAAAACAAAGCAACCCTCATGTGACTCAAAGATTGGATGTTTCACTGGTTCCTTGCCGTATCAGAAAATGTACAGTTTCCTCTGCCCTTCTCCCCTGAAAGTGCATCAGTGCACAACTGAGAAGGAGCTTTAGGATAATGTTGCCTTGGAAGTGTGTGTTTTGGCTGAACAGATTTATGTTCATGCTGTTTTAATAAACTGCTAGGTAATTGACCTTATTCTGGTTTTATAGGTATGATGAGTGATTTTGTGGCAAGAAGTAGATAGATGTGTAATTTTACTAGTCTTGTCACAGCCAAGCAGAGCAATGGCCAGCACTAAACGGGACTGTTATCTTAGGTCAGTACAGTATATGATCGTAGCACAAATGTCTGCTCAACAGCTGCTGAGAGGCCAGTATTTTTTTTACAAGGGGGTGTGGGGGTGGTTGTTTTGTGTGTAACAACTAATTTAGAGTGACATCTTGCTGCTTATATATTCTTCTCTAATTAGGAAATCATGGATTGTCTTGATTCTAAAGAGAACTAAAGAAAGATGGCCCGAACTAGAGCACTGTGAGGGATATGCTCAAAGTATATTCTATGGTTTTGAAATGCCTGACTCTTCATGTTAGCAATTATTCTGCACAGATACTTAGGCTGAGACTGGATTGTTTTATGCTTGGCTCATGTGACAGCTCATGTTATCATTCATAATGGTAAAATATTGGAAGCAACTTTAGGTGGTTTTAAGGAAATCTTTTCCTATTCTGATTCTGATTAGGTTTACTAAGTCTTAATTTTGAGGGGAAAGGGAGGAATGTTTAAGTGGTAATATATAGTGTATTTCTTTTGCTAGAATGGCATTTACTTGCTCATTTTGCAAATTTCGAACATTTGAAGAAAAAGAAATTGAATCGCATCTGGAAAGTGCAGCTCACCAGGAAACACTGGATCATATCCAAAAACAAACCAAGTTTGACAAAGTGGTGATGGAGTTTCTTCATGTAAGCCAGCCTTTTTTTATTATTTATCTATATATTCTACAGTGGAATTTAGTGTACCATTTGGTATTCCTTTCAGGAAAAGAAAATCTTTTGGCCTAGTATATCCTGTTAGAAGTTGAAGCAAATTCAGAATTTACTTACTTAAAATATTCTCTTTTAAATGCTTTAAATAACTGCAATTAACTGGTGTGTATTTTTGTTTTCCACTATTTATCTGTAGGTAAATATCTGAATACAAACAATTGTCCATCAAAGATGGGTTGTAATTTTTTTCTTGATCCTTTGTAGGAGTGTATGGTGAATAAATTCAAGAAGACAGCTATGCGTAAGCAACAGACAAGTAGCCAAACAGAAAATGCACAGGCTGCTGAAAAAGATATAATGGAAGGTATGTGCTTTGTGTGAATGCTGGAGCTCTGCTCCTTTTCACCATTCTTATTCAAATTTAATAATGTTTGCCTTAAAATCATTAATTTCTTCACCTTTCTCCTACCTGACTGGGATTCTGTGCTTCATCAGTGAGGTGAATTGAAAGCCTCTGAATGGCAAAACTCAGAGGCTTGTGATCAGTGACAAAAAGTCTAGGTAGAGACCAGAAGCTAGGGGTGTGCTCCAGGGCTCTATAGAGGGTTCAGTTCCATTTAACTTATCAGTGCACAAAGCCTCCGAAGGGAGGGCCTAAAAACAGTAGGACAGACTCTCTACAGTGGTGCCCAGAACTACTTTACTGTGAGGGTGACTGAGCACAGGAGCAGGTTGCCCGGCGTGACTTGGAGGCCTCATCCTTGCAGATGCTCAAATGCTGTCTGGATGCAATTCTGGGCCAAGTGCTCAGGATGATCCTGCTTGAGCAGGGGGGACTGGGTGGTCTCTAAAGGTCCCTTCCAACTTCTGCCATTTTGTGTTGGGATGATGATGGCAACAATCTATATGTATCAGGAGGATACGTGCTGTGTTTTGGGGACATTGTGTCAAAATGAAGGTTTTGAGCACTTTATGGTCCTTGGCTACCCTGCAGCTAGGCCGGAATTTCTTCTCTTTGGCAGTCCTGCAGGCAGTTTGCTACAGCATTTTGTGTGTGCTTGTCTTGCCGCACCACCTCTACTTTGTCATTTCTTTTGGAGCTTTCAGAAGATGCACTAGAGTGCTGGAAGGGGCACCTTTTATCATAGAGATAGTGCAATAATGGTCTTTAAATGTTGCCTTCATCTGAATTTAAATAGTAAAAACTACTTGAAAACAAGTTCAGCCACAATTTTGTTAAACTCCTTAATTCTTTTCATGTTTTTCTGAAGTATTGGAAGCTATGTTTGCACTTATGATCAGTGTGCTCTGTTGGCAAGCTAGTACTTAAGTCTGCAATCTCTCCCTGCTCACCCTTCCTGCCCAAACCCCCAAACAAAACAACCTCACCCTCCCACCCAAGCACATTCTGTGTTAATTGTGTGTCATCTTTGTTGGCAGGGGTTACTGCTGATGACCATATGATGAAAGTTGAGACTGTTCACTGCAGTGCTTGCAGTGTGTATGTTCCTGCATTACACAGTTCTGTTCAGCAGCACTTAAAATCTCCTGATCATACAAAAGGAAAACAGGTAAGATGGCGTGTGTTACTTTAAAAAAACAAAACAAAAGAACCCACATCATGATCAGTTGGTTGTATTAAGTGCTAAAGGTATAGACTGGTAGTAAGTAAAAACCTTATGGCATTTATTGCATTGTTAGTTTGAAGACAAGTGAAGAGCAGTTTAGAAAAAAGGAGGATTAATAAAAAATCCAACTGTCAAAATATGAAAGATGTCCAAAATATGGTTTTATTTATATATCAAACCTTTATTATAATTGTGGGGTATATTAGACTTTGATGGGGGGAAAGATGTTTTCTGTGTGGATGAGAACAAGGAACTGTGTGTATAATTTGAATGCTACTGTGTATTTCAGTGCAGGTGTGAGAGAAAGATTCATAGTCCTACTTCATTATAGGAGTGAGACCCAGATATATCTTTTGGTCAAACTAAAGCAACCTATAAACTGTGGCTTAACTGAGTTCATTATGTGTTTTGAACTTAAATGTCAAAAATGAATATGACTAGTGTGGCATGAATTTCTTGATAATTTGTCTTAGAGAATCTGATTGACCATAAACTTAGTCATGAGTACATCATGAACTCAAATTTGTGGGACAAATGAAATATGTTTATAGTAGCTATTCACTATAAAATCTGTTTCCTAGGCCTACAGAGAGCAAATAAAAAGGGAAAGTGTTCTTACAGCTACCAGTATTCTGAATAATCCAATAGTGAAGGCACGATACGAACTATATGTGAAGGTAAGGTGGTCATGGTAAAAATGGAATATTGACATCTGTGTTTTCTCTGATATCTCTGTTTTCTCGCATTTTTTTTCCTTTGGCCCCAGTTAAAGAAAAAGGTCTTTTTTCTAGTATTGTTCCTGACCTTCTTTGGGTAGTTACCTTCACTTAGTGGATAGCTTTCCTGTGCCTAATGTCAAAACAAGCTATTAATATATAGCAACATTGTGTTATTTGACTATGGCAAGATATGAGCTGCTGTAGGCATTATCTGCGATCTAAAATGTCAAATTAGTGGTGTCATGCAAAGCTACATATGGCTTGGTGCTTGAATTGGGTTCAGATACCTTTCCTTATGTGTTTACAGAAGATGGCAAATGACCAACTACAAAAATTAGCACATATTTTTGGTTATCTCTCCTGGTATTGCTCATGACTTGCTTGTCAAATTTGTTGTCCAGGATAGCCCCCTAGTGGGTGACTGGAAAAAAAGGGACTCAAAAACATGTTGTTGATCAGTTGGAAACTGAAGAAGATTGAATTTGGAAGACAGTCTTGTCAAGGATACTACTGCTGTTTTCAGACCACCTGAAATAGGTTTTTGGTAGCACCTGGTCAGTGAGATGTATTTGGCTTCTGGCCATATAAATACTCTAGTCCTTATCTGAATAATTAACTGCAAGTAATGATGTGCTGTGACTAGACTGAAGGAATCCAATAGTTTCACACATCTGGTGAACCAGTGCATGTGACAGTTATGTTTGTTTACTGCAGTCTTGCAGGAGAGATGATGATCCTGGTTGCTGGAAAAAAAAACTTGGTTTGAGTTGATGCACAGACTGGATTTGATAGGGGAGAGTGGATTGTTTTGAAAGCATCGTCACGTGCTGTGTGGCACCAGGACATCAGAGCAGGGGAAGTCCTGGGCGGCCCTTGTGGCAGTTTGTTCCCAGTTGCAAGGCAGGATGTCAGCATCAAAACTCTTTGACAGAGGGAGAACAAAACTGCAAGTCACCAACTTGTGCATTTTAGCAGTCTCTATTCATGCAGTTGAAGTCATGCTCTCCTTAGCTGCATAACCAGAATTTGGGACTGACCCTCCTCCTTGCTGTGTTTTGTGAGAAATTCTGCACAAGCCGTTTTGCTTGCGTTGTGGAGACAGTGAGTGCTTGGAGGAAGACAATGAATGTGCCTGGGGGGATTGACTGGCTGACAGATGCTCAGCCTGGCGGGTATTTGCTGCCTGCTGCCCTTGGCAAAGCTGCCACATGGAAGGATCTGGCTGATGCCTAACTGAAGGTGGAACGTGGCTCATGGGCACTCACTCACAGTGCATGTTTTTCATTAACCACTTAACTGAGCTAATAGGTACTCTTGCTATTTTATTATTAGCATTACCAGACAGTTACTAATTCAGCAAAGCACTGTTTGGTGTTTGGAGCCCCATGGTACCTCCTGGGAACCTGGCAGCAACAGCACTTGCCTAAGATGGCATGCACTTAACTGGGACCTTTGGGGCTTGCTTGTTTACACAGGACCCAAATAAGTTGCTATATTACTGCCTCTTCAAATACTCCATCCTTATGTATGAGGATCTATTTTTAAAAAGCCAAATATAGTATTTATGGTTAAGCTACTACTAAATTCATGGGAGTTTATATGTTGTCTATGTTATCTTTTAAATAATTTTCTTGGAAACCCAGTCTTTAGTTAATCATTAGTGTTGTATGTTGAGGTCAGGCTTACTTCATCAGGTGTTTGAATGTGAAAGGTTTTGGGAAAGAAGCTCTTAATAGGTCATTTTACTGTGTATTGCTTATTAAGGTTATTCATAGTTCTTAAATAAAGACAAACTGAATACTGACGTATGTTTTGTACTGAATTATCTTATGAAATGATTTGAGAAACCATTCAGCTACAGTGTGAATGTACTTAAAATGTTCTGATAAATGTTTGATGTGTTTCTCAATCACCAGTGGAATGAATTTCAAGCTAGTTAGTTGAATTTCAAGTTTATTTGCTTTTTAATTTACTGGGGAGTTCTTTTGGCAGAATTATCCAGAATTGGCAGACTGATTTCTGAATAAAAAAATCAGGAAAACTTCTTCAGTTCTGTATGCTTTTTTAAAAAAAAATGGCTTGTGTGTGCATAAAAATGAGATGTTGCCAATTTTAAATCAAATTGTGTTAATTTCAGGAGTATTTCTCAGTGCTTGCCTTCTCATTCATTGAAATAAGTGTTATTTCATTTTATGCTTGAAACAGCATTTTTTTGTTTTCTGTTTCAGGGTGAAAATCCTTTTGAAATTAATGATCAGGCTCAGGAGCAGCAGACAGAGGAAGAAGACAAGGCTGATGAACCAGCTGAGGGAGAGGAAGAGGAGGAGGAGGAAGAGGAAGAAGAAACTGAAGAACAAACAGATTTCACTTTAGACCACACTGAAGATAACTAAATGCAAGAAAATGAAGACATTCGGCGGGGAGAAACAGCTTTTTATTTCTGTTCTAAAGTGGCTAAGACTTTTTAATAGTCTCAGATGAGAGTTGTGTAAGATTCCCCACCTTATGCATGCATTCCATTCTGTGGAGAACTTGTTTATATAATTCCTATGTGTTTCTGGTTTTGTTTAAAATGAAATTAAGATTATTTTAGTTGAGCTTTTTATAGCAAACTGACTGTTAGAGGCTATTGAAACATCGTGTTGTATATTTTTTTAAGCATCCTATTTTTTGGTGTGTGTATTGAAAGTTGGGTATAATAAGAATTTTTGGTCTAATCACTTTAAAAAAAAGAATGTGGGGTAAATATTTTAAATGCTTTGTGGCATAAGCTTATAATATTTACCTCTTAATACAGAATAAGTATACTTCAAAAATTGTGCTGTGAGTGTGGCTGTTCTTGGGACTGCGTTGCACTCTGTATAATAGAGTATGTGTTATAATATGCCTTGTAGCTTTTTGTGATAAGATGTACCAGTTTGTAGCAATAAAATACTTAAGAAATGTTACTGTTTAAAGTGTTTATAGTAAAGTGTTACAAGTATTTCCCCACACTGACTACAATTTGATTTCCAATATTTATCTTGATACAATGATGACTTAAAAGTACTTATTATTTAAAACAATTATTTAATCTAGCAATGAATATTATTTATTGCTGAGTTGCAATGTATTCACCTTCCATCTACCAAGACACACTTTTGCTATAGTTTGCTATAGTGTGTTTAAGGGAAGGATGCTTTCAGCATGTTTAGATGCTGTTTACAGTTGGCTGTATTAGAAATTGTGTCAGTGCACCATTTTTCTGTCAAAGTCCCTTCTAATCTAGATTTTTGACTGGTGAGAATCGGAAGGTCTAGTTTAATGTTTTTTTAAAGTATAGCTAAGCAGCTTCATTTTTCACCAAAATGTTTAGGTGTTTTTTTTTTTTTTTCTTCTCTTTCCAGTACACATAACTATTCACACCAATCCTTTGCAATCATTAAAGCCAGTCTGTTTCAAAATGTCTCATATGTAATTTTTACACCTTTTCCCTGGAGGGCCTTTTGTTAATTTACAGCCAGAACTGTATGCAGATGATATAAACAGACTGGAGACAGGTTAGAGAGATTAAGACTTCTCACCTCAAAGGAAGTAATTTGCTTTTGGATGATCCATTGTAGAACTGGGGTATTGTGGGGAAATACTTGGTTTACATATTAGACCATCAAAAACACCAGTGGCTGTAGGCTCTGGAGGGTGTTGTCTGTTGTAATTGTTTTGCTGTTGCCTTTTAGTGCAGCTGGGAGAGCTGCAACTACAATGAGAAGGAAGGAGAGAGGAAACTGGGTTTGGTGTCTTGTCCTCTTGTTACCTGCATGGTTTGCCTATTACTTTCCTATTTTAAAAAAGTAGCATGATCTAGACTGAGCTGTTAGCCTGTAAGTGGTTT